GCTCTGCCGCCGTCATACTTGTTCGTCCTTCACGGCTTCTAACGGCAAAGTTACCTTCTCGTAAGGCAAATCCAAGACTGTATTACTTCAGAGGGCTGAGGGGCCACGAACTTCGTGGCTACTGACTACGGTCTATAGTAATACTACACAACTAGGTCATCCACCACTAGACTGTTACCGTGGTTTGCAGTGGGTCAAACGATCTGGCGACCCAACTGTTCTGCAGCGCAGAACACTTCCCTCCTCTAAGGGAGACCTAGGTGGGCCATCATGTCCGCGACATGATCTTCGTCCTTGTGAGCAGCGCAGCACCTGCGCAGCACTACCGAGATGTCTTAAAGCAAGTTGTCGACTGGCTCCTAGGACGATGCCTTGGCATCCAAGCCGAGCCACTTGACTAGAACTTCGAAGCGGCCGTCTGCCGCAACACGCACTTCTTCCAGGCGCTCAACGTGGAAACCGCCATCGCCGAAGGCGATCTGATCCACGAGGTCGTCTGTGACCTCACGTCCACCTTCGTGGTACATCTTCAATCGACACGCATGGTGCGTGGACAAGTCGAAGGGCGCAACCAGTTGTTGCGTCTCCATCACGTGATCCGTGACTACGCGAACGACCTGATGTGGCCCACGCCACTGCAGCGCAAGCTTCGTAGGCCGTTGAACGACGGTGCCGACTAGGACAAAATCACCCATACTAAAGTTGGCAAATTTGACCCGCGTTTTCTTGTCGCGCCGTCCTCTCGCTTGTTGTCGCAGCTTGTCGCTGCGGGCAAACACTTCACGGTGCAGCTGATCTAAGGCAATCTTGAGCTGTGCCATGTGCTTGACACGGGCATCGTCCAGCATGTCCGTGCAGATGACTTCCTTGGTGGCCGGGTGTACTAGCCCGGCCAGTGGCGTCTTCGCCTTGAGCCCTGTAAATGCCGTGACGGGGGCAACTCTGCCGAGCCTGTCCGAGGGCTGGTGGTTCAACGCGTCCTGCACCAGAGGCAGGACTAGATGCCACTCGTTCGCACGCAACTTCATCTCGCTCAGCAAAACCTTGAGCGTCCGCAGGACTAGACGGTTGACCACCTCGACCGTCCCATTGGACCAAGGGCTGTAGGCCGTCGTGATGTGGTGGTGCGCCCACCATCTTGCGCACTCTTTCGACCACATCGTTCTTGAAGTGGGCCCCGCCGTCAGTGACCCACGTGTCCACGCAGCCGTAGAGCGTGAAGCAGGACATCAACGCAGCCGCTGTACTTGTCGCGTCAGCGGCTTCAGCAGAGCACAAGTGGACGAACCCGCTCAAGCCATCCTTGATAACCGGGACATATTTCAGCCCACTTGATGACTCCGGCATCGACAACCAGTCGTAGTGATTCAACTCATTGGGCTTCTCGGCGTGCAGGGCCGAGCCCAATGGTCGCGGCACCACATCTCCATCCACTTGGAGACATTGCAAGCACGCTCGGACAAACGTGTCCACGTCTTGGACCAGCGTGGTCCAAATAAACACGTCGGACACCGATTTCGTCGTCGCGGCAATTTGACGGTGGCCTGCCGCGCCTTGATGAGCGATAATGCAGAGGCGTTGCTGCAGGTCGACAGCACCGTCTGGCACCCAGATCCTCCCGTCTGGGTCCATGTAGTAGGAGTCTTCTTCGCTCCAGGCCACGCCAGGTGGGATGCCCCCCCATCCAAAGATGACGTTTGGGCGGCCAAAATCGACGCCGCCGTCTGCCAATCGAAATCAGCGCGCTGCAGAGGGGACACCACATGCAGCAGCTTGCGCACATGCGCCACGGGCGGCGCAGACGGCGCGGAACCCCAGCGACTAAGCAGGTCGCCCCACACGTTCCCGTCGCCCGGCAGACATTCGATCGAATATGGGAATGTCGACATAACCAACGCCCACCGCTGAAGCTTGTCAGCCTGGTACTTGGCGAGGTTGCCGTTCGACCCGTGAGGGTTGAACATGTAGACGAGGTTGCGGTGGTCCGTGAACAGACGGAATCCACCAGGCCGAATCACCAGATAGTCGAGCCGCTTGCAGGCCTCGACGACGGCGAATGCCTCCTTTTCGACAATTGGCCAGCGCGTGCTGGCACCGCTAAAGCTGCCGCTGAGGAACGCCAGCGGCTCGTGACGTTGCTCTTCCAAGGGCAGACTCAGGTCGTCCGGCGATATTTGCGCGGCCACCGCACCCCAGAACTGATCGCTGGCGTCCGTAAAGACGCACACCTCCATGTCAACGCGAGGGTGCGACAGGGGCATCACATGCTTCAACGCTGTCTTCACGCCCTCGAAACACGCGGCATGTCCTTTGGACCATCCAACGGCCGCCAGCTCTACACGCGCCAGGGCCGTTTTCTTGCTACTTTTCGCCGCCTTGGCGGCCACGTCGAGCAAACGTCGGAGAGGGTCGATCACCCTGTTGTAATCGGGGATACTGCCACGCATCCAATTCGAGGCACACACAAACTGCTGCAGGTAGGCAGCGGTTGTATGGGGCGCCAAATCGACCAGACCTTGAATGCGGCTGGGGGAATGCTTCACGCCAGCCGCGGAAATCACCTTGCCGCACCATTCGGCTTCCAGCAAGTAGAAGTGGCACTTCTTCGGGCTGAGCTTGAGCCCGTACGCCGCGCAGATGGACAGTACTTGGTCCAGCAGATCGAACAGGTCCGCCGTCGACTTCGCGGACCCAAGGAGGTCGTCCAACCACGCAAGCAGGCCGCGAAACAAGAGGTCGCCGAACATTTGGTGCACCACCGACTGGCAGTAAGCCACCGCGTCGGTCTGTCCCATCAGCACGCGGGTAGGCGTGTAGACGCCAAACGGGGTCATGAACGAGAAGTACTCTTGGGAGTCCGCATGCAGCGGGAGCTGCCAGTAGCCCTTGGCCCAGTCCAAGGTGAAGTAGACGCTCGTTCCTTTGAGGCAAACGAGCGCGCTGTCGAGGTTGGGCATGGGCCACGGCATTGGGTCGGTGCACGCATTGATAGGACGACTGTCGATCGTCATCCGCAGCGCGCCGGCGTCCTTCTTGGGCACAATACGGGGCGCCGCGGCCCACGTCGAACGGTTGTTCTTGTATACCATACCATACCGTTCCCCTCCAATGACTCTACATACTCGCGCATGTACTCACGTGCGCCGGCGGGTAGCGTCGCATGCCGCACTTCACCGGCGTCGCGTCCGGCTTGATGCGTACCTTCAAGGGCTCGACCTTGACAGGCGGATCATCACCCAGGTCTTCACGGAACACATCGACATGCTTCCGTAAAAGCGCCGTCAGGTGCTGCGTGTCCACGGCGTCGAGCCCACGCCCTTGAGCTTCATCCACCTTGGCCATAAGCACGGCCAGGTCACTGTCGCGCGTCTTGCGATGAGAATCTTCGCTTGCCCCGATAATCTTCGGGTCCACGACTTCAGGCGTAGCACACTGCATGCTGTCGCTCTCTTCGAGGCAGGGATCAGGCGGATCCCGTCTCTCGGCCATCAGGAGCGTCACCCGCGCCATGTTGGAGGCAGGGATGTCAACGCCGTCGGAGACGTCCTACTCCGACTTCTGCTGTCGCTCTTCGACGAGCAGGTCGTCCACGGAGAACCTCCATGACTGGGTGGCTGATAATAACGTCGATCGACGAGGCCGTGTCGTCAACCCAAGCCTTCAGCCTGCGCAGGACCAGCGGGCCGCACGTCGTGTCGAGAGTTAGCTTGCCAAACGTGGCAAGCCGCGGCATCGTCAGTGGCGCAGCTGTCTCGCCATAAGGGAAGACAAGCTGCTGCTTGCCGTGTACCACGATGTCCGCAGCGACGTCGCACGATGCCAACGCATCCATAACGCCGCGCGAAACGACGTTCACGTCAGCTCTCGTGCCGAGCAGAAAGTTCTCGACACGGACAACGCCTTCCACCATGGCGCTGCGATTGGACGAGCGCCGACTAGACTTGTCGGCCAACACCTTGACCCGTTCTTGGCGATCCTTCACCATCGCGTCTAGCAGACGCTGCGCTTCGCCCGGCGCAGTCTTGGGACAATCCGCCACGCGGTGATCCTTGTCGCCGCACTTCAAACACGCGCCACGCCCCTACTTTGGCGCCGCGTCATCTTTGTCGCCCGCTACATACGAAGAAGTTTCAGGCTCCAACATCGACACCAGCGAGTCCACGACTGCTGTCAATGATGCGGCGACGGTTGCCCCCCGTGTTCTCGTCGTCGTCGACGGCATTCTTGACCTTTGCCCGCAATTGCTGTACCAACCGGAATCCACGTCCGACTCCAGCAGTGCCCCGCAGATCTCCTTGAAGATTGTGTTCAGGACTTCATCATCAACGTTTGAGGCGCGTTTCAGCTTGCCCAGCGCGTTCTGGATCTTCGTTCCAAGTTCGGCAAGTACCATCCTGTTGCCGTCCCGACGTGAACGACAAGCGCCTTGGAAATGAATGACGTGAAAGCAGAGGGCATCACAATATTCAATTATCAGAGCTAAACAAATGTCAACAGGTCATTATATTAATGTTCCTGGTGGTTTCCATTTTTCCATGGTGTGGAGTCGGTATCCGGAAAGAATCCGGACACGAAATCGCGATATTGTTGCCCCAAATGCAGCACATTGTGTTGCATAAACACCTCGGCAACGCATAAGTGGTGACGCTCCGAGGCCGAGGCATGCCTCTTGGGCGTTCCTTGTTGAGTCACATTGGCGTGAAATATTTGATCGACAAATCAAATATCGCCTTAAGGCAACGTCATACATAATCTGCCCATTCTGCATGCTACATGAGCCTTGTGCAAGTGAAAGCTAATGGAAGCCACATAGCCCTAGCGCTGCCTAATGCAGAACTTCGAGATATCGTACATTCTCGAAGTCTAGCTTAACCTCGGCTTACAGTCCACGAGACCATCGAGGGTCCTTTTGAAAATTGCATAATTTTATACAAGTCTCTCGAGGAAATAACCTTAACAAACTCGATGGCAAGAAAATATAAGATCAAAGAATTATTGATTTACGCAAGGTTTACATCGACGATATCCGTAAGAATGGACTCGTCATCGTCGCTCTCGTCGTCATCGCTTGACTCCTCATCGACCGGCAAAGGCGGCTCATTCGCAGCCTCATCTGTGGCTTCCAATTCGACGAGGTATGCGTTCATCTCGCGAACCTTCTTCTTGGTATGATCGATGCACCGATGAATCAGACCACCTGACACGTCGGCGAAGGCCAAGTCCAGCCGCGCAGCCACGTCGGACAT